TGTCCAAATTGAATCCCTGAAAGAAAGGAATCCAATGCAAAAAGAATGAGCCAAAAAGGATATCTACAGAAAAAGTTATGGCCAAATTAGTAACTAAAGGTCAGAATAGAAAATATAAACAAAAGTATAGTATTTACAAAAATTCCTAATTAACAAGATAAATGCAAAAACATATTAAATGGAAGAAATAAGGGAATGAAAAGACATGCAAAGGATGCAATAAGACTAAAAATGTGAGAACAAAATATGAGCTATCAAGAAGTAAGTGAAGTTGAAAAATAAATAACCTAGTAATACTAATAGGATAGGAGTAGCCAAGAAGTAACTAAGACTAAAAGTCCTTTTATATGAAATGAACCCTAGACCAGAACTTAGTGCAACAAAGAAATGACATAAGACACGAAATTATAACACAAGCGTGACTAGTTAAAATAAGGAAAAATTATATTTTTGTCTTGATTAAAAGGATGTACTCTCAAGTAATCAAATACAATGCTATTTTTGGACTGTTAATATAAACATGTAAAGTAAGAAATTGTGATTAAATGAAGACACATTTTTATTATAATAATGAATAAAACATTCTCATGCATTATAACATGTAAAGGGGAGATGTAATTAATTCTACAGTTTAGCACAATTATGGGATGCATGTGTACAAGTTCTGAGAGAACTTTGGCGGTGGTAAAAAGAGGATGACTCAATGGTTGAGTAACTCACTGCAACTGAGTCACAACATACTTGCTGAAATTCACATCCCCTGCCACTGAAACCCACGTGCCTTTTTTTTTTTTTGTCTCAAAGCCTAAAGATGTATCACCCCTTTCAAATCCTATTTCCCTTTGCCTGATGATGAGAGTTCACTAATGTAACACCTTAATTTATTTTTAAATATTTTTCAATGGGATATTTTCGCAATAAAATGAGAATAATAAAATTTCATTTCAATTGTTTCCAATACAGAATTTCAATAAAGTATTTTAAAATATGGGATGAGTTACACCTTTGAATCAAAATAAAGCTACAGAACCTATTTAATACATCTAAATTTTAAAATAAATTTTCTAAATCTTATAGCAATATCATATATCCCTAGTCACTAAGTCTGGTACTGGTGGTTTTGGTCACCTAAAAAATAAATATAAGGGTGAATCATTTACACTATCACATACCCACAAATATAAAGACTTACCTTCCCTATTTTACAACAATCCCTAATATGATAAAATTACATTTTAAACATGCATTAATTTATACATACGCCTCATATTCATACATCAAACATGTTTTGGTGCGCTCATTGCACCTTCAATCAATTCACACACACACATGCACTCACTGCATGTTAGCCACGCTCACTGTGATCTCATGCTACAGCGAGGCCCCTTCTCGCTACAGCGAAAATATAAGACAAAAGTATACTTAGTTTTTTATATAGTCTCGCTACAGCAAGACTGAACCTAAAAAACACCCCCTTTCTGTTATCCTCATGATGCAGGGAGGAGCCTTTCGCTACAGCAAAAATGCAACAGAGACACGCCTACTTGCCCAAGACCTTCTCGCTATAGCGAGAATGTTCTTGTAGCACACATCAGCCTATACTCTCAAGCATTTTTAGTCCATTTACAGACAAATATTCACATTTGAACCACAACATATCAATGTACACATCCATATCACCAGTATGAATCAAAATGCACATCAAAATCACAACATACACGTATGTATAATTATCATAATATAATTACAAAACTTGAGGCATTACAACTCTCTCCTCTTTTAGAGAATTTTGTCCCCAAAATTCAACAACTACATAAACAATTCTGGATACAACTCTCTCATCCTACTCTAAGTCTCCCACATAGCATCTCCCTCATTGTTTGCACTCTATATCACCTTCACCAACGAGATCTCCTTGCCCCTCAACTGCTTGACACGATGATCCATAATCTTCATCAGGTATACATCATAGGACAAGCTCTCTCTTACTTGAGCCAGGTCAAGGTCAATCACGTGAGAAGGATCTGCCACATACTTTCTAAGTTGAGACACATGAAATACTGGATGTAGGTTTGAAAGATTTAGTGGTAGCGCTATCTGATAGGTTGCAGGACTGATTCTACTCAGCACTTTGAACTGCCCAATGAATTAAGAAGATAACTTTCAAGATTTCAGAGCTCTCCCCACTCCGGTCACAGGTGAGACCTTCAGGAACACATGGTCACACACCTAGAACTCCAAATATTTCCTCTTCTTATCATAGTAGTTTTTCTGCCGATCTTGTTCAGGCTTCATCTTCTCTCTAATTATCTTAATCTATTCGTTTTGCTTCTGGACCATGTCCGATGCGCACAAAATTGCCTCTCTAGTCTCGTACCATTTCGATGCTAGTATAGAAACTGTTGTTGTACGTGAACTCTACCAAGGGTAGGCATTCTTCTCAAGTTCCCTGCTGCTCAATCACACAAGCTCTCAACAAATCCTCCAATGATTGGATAGTCCTCTTTATTTGCCCGTCAGTTTGTGGGTGGTAAGTTGAATTAAGCTTCAACTTAGTACCCTGCGCTTGTTGTAGGCTCTTCTAAAACCTCGATGTAAACTCGAGTCTCTGTCTAAGACCACACTAGTCAGCACACCATGCAGCCTAACTATCTCCCTCACGTACATATTCGTTAGTTTTTCCAATTTATACTTGATGTTGATCGGAAGGAAATGTGCAGCCTTGGTTAACCAATCTACTATCATCCAAATAGCATCATGGTTGTTCCTAGTTATTGGCAACCCAAAAACAAAGTCTATGAAAATACTATCTCATTTCCACTCGGGAATCTCCAAGGGTTGCAACACTTTAGGTGGACACTAGTGTTCCACCTTTGCCTTCTGACAAGTTAGGCATTTTGACACATATTTAGCTACATCTTTCTTCATCCCATTCCACGAGAAATTCTTGTAGAGATTCTGATATATCTTGGTTAAACTGGGGTGGAAACTCATTCTGCTTTTATGTGTCTCCTTAAGTATCATTCACTTCATCTCATCAATTTGGGGAATACACACTCAGTCTTGAAACTTGATCACGCCATTCTCATCACAATGGAACTCCAAGTCCTTCCCCTCACTTTTCTGCTTCATCATATCTTGCAGGAAGGCATCTTCCTATTGAGCGTTTCGGACTTGCACCAAGAAGTCATTATAGATTGTCACCGTCCTAAGGTATGAACTCCTTAGCCTTACCTCCATAGCCAAATTTATATCCCAGAACTCCTCAATTAACTCAATCACTTTCACCATTATAGCTGCCACGTGCAATGATTTTCTGCTCAATGCGTCAGCCACCATGTTCGCCTTGCCTAGATGGTAAGACAATGTCATAGTCCTTGAGAAATTCCATCCACCTTCTTTATTGCATGTTCAGCTCTTTCTACTGAGGTACTTTAAACTCTTGTGATCGCTAAACACCTTAAACCTCACCCCATAAAGGTTGTGCCTTCATATCTTAAGAGCAAAGACCACTACGACTAACTCTAAATTCTTAGTTGAGTAATTGACTTCATGAGGATGCAATTGGCTTGAGACATAGGCAACTACTCTTCCGTCTTGTATCAAAACATACCAAAGTCCATGCCCGGATGCATCACAGTACATGTCAAACTTTCGTTTTGGGTCAGGTAAGACTAACACCAGCGCTGAAGTTAACTTCCCCCTCAGTTCTAGGAAACTAGTTTCACACTTCGTGCTCCACTTAAACTCCTTCCCTTTACGGTTCAATTTCGTCAAAGGGAAAGCTATTTTAGAAAATTCCTCAATGAATTTCCTATAATAGCCAGCTAGTCCCAAAAAATTGTAGATTTCTGTCACATTTGTAGGCCTCAGCCTTTGGGTTTATGCTTCCACCTATCATAATTCCATCCTTCAACACCACATGTCCCAAAAATTGGATTGCGATAGCCAAAACTTGCACTTAGAAAATTTGTATACAATTGCCTCTCCCTCTAAATCTACAAAACAATCCTCAAGTGTTCGGCATGCTCCTCTTGAGTCTTCGAATAAATCACTTCCACCTATCATAATTCCATCTTTTGACACCACATGTCCCAAAAATTAGATTTGCAGTAGCCAAAACTTGCACTTAGAGAATTTTTGTACAATTGCCTCTCCCTCTAAATCTATAAAACAATCCTCAAGTGCTCGACATGCTCCTCCTGAGTCTTCGAATAAATTAGAATGTCATTAACGAACACCGCCACAAACTTATCCAAAAACTCATGGAAGATTCTATTCATGTAATCTATGAACACAGCAGGTGCACTGGTCATACCAGACAGCATCACCAAGTACTCCTAGTGACCATAACGTGTCCTGAAAGCTATCTTGGGTACATCCTTATCCTTCACCCTAATTTGATGGTACCCTGATCTCAAGTCAATCTTTGAATAAACTAAAGCTCCTCTCAACTGTCCATCAAATCGTCAATTTTAGGAAGAGGGTAATTGTTCTTTATCGTCACTTTATTCAGTTATTTGTAATCGACACACATCATCATGCTCCCATCTTTCTTTTTCACCAAAAGAACTGGCGCTCCTCATGGCGACACACTTGGCCTTACAAACCGTTTCTATAATAAGTACTCCACTTACTTCTTGACCTCTGCCAACTCCACCAATGACATCCTATATGGTGCCACAAAATTCGTGCTTGCTCCTAGAATGAGATCAATGGTGAATTTTATCTCTCTTTCTTTGGTGGCAACTCATAAACATCATTAGGAAAACTTCCAAGAAATCCCTCACCACTAGAATATACTCTGGCTCCACCCCACTTTCGGCTTCTTGTGAGAACATGACCACAAAGACCTTAGCATTTATCGTGTTCTCCCACGCACCTTAACTTAATAGTCTAGGAATCTCCGACATCAATGTACCAAAAATCAAAGTCTTCTCCTTACAATCCAGCAAAACATGGTTAGCGGCTAACCAATTCATTCCCAAAATTATGTCCAATTAGGAAGAAGGCAAACAGATCAAGTCTATGTCAAAGTCTCTACTATACACTATCACAGAATACCCCAAACACACCCACGAGGATATGACTGGTTTACTCGTAGGGTTAGTCACCACAACATTACACAGCAATTCAATCACATGTAAGTCCAAACACTTCACATAGTCCATAGAAACGAATGATTGCGTAGCACCTGAGTCAAACAACACATCTAGCAATATGCCCTTAACAACGCATTTACCTCTGATCAGCTCCTCAGACTGTGAAGCATCTGCCCTACTAATGGCAAATACCTTCCCTGGAATGCTCGGCTTCAGCCCTGTGCTTCCTCTCGACTCAGGTCTCTGGCTGATACTCGCACTGCCACTCTTCTTAAGAGCAATCAAGCAAACATTCACAGTGTGTCTCAGTTTTCCACAGTTATCACAGTTGGTCCACGACTATGGCAAGTCCCTCAACATGTGTGGTCCTCTACACCTGAAACATCTGATTGGCCCTCTAAAAGAGTCAGAACCGGGGCCACTATCGCTGTTCCTCTCCTAGATGAGGTCCCTTTGACTGAGAATGACTGGAGCTCAAGTATCGCCCCTTAAAGAACCTAAGGGGTCTTTTATCTTGCCTTATTAGACCACTCCCTCTAGTGTCTATTGTCTTACCCTTCGAGTTGGCTTTGAATATCTGACACTTGCTCACCAGAGTGAGCAAGTCAGTCAGCTGAAATACATTGACTGCAACAAGGATCTCTCGCCTAAATCTATGCTGGAACTGAACACACAAGTCCTCTTTTCCGTTTTCATGTTAATAGTGAAGTCAGTACTTCATCAGCTTAAAGGTATGTCCAAATTAACTCTTTGCCTTGACTCTTAAGTTATTTCAAGTTGTGGCAAAAAAACATCTTATGTTGCTATGGGATAAAATAGGACAATCAAATTTATTCTAAAGTAGATACTTGTTAATTTATTATCAACATTGTATAAAATAATATAAAGTAAATTTAAAATGATAAATTTCAAAATCATTTAATTACAATATTAATTTTATTTTCAAGATTTGAAATCCCAGTTTCAATTATGTCATTCAAAATTGCACATTTAAAAAAATAAAATATTTAAATGTATCGTGTTTTATATTCCAAATTGAAACAATAAATTGTGATTTCACTGTATAAATTATTTTACCACACGAAATTGCAAGAGCATTAGTTTTATAACATTCTGTTATATTCTTTTTTTTTAGACTACATGTGTTTTATAATATATTATGTCATATTTTATGATGTTAGTTTGTGATTTTTTTTGTTTTTTTTTACTATTTTTATTTTATTTTTTAAAAATTAAATAAATATTTTCTTACATTTATATTATAAACATATATTTTAGATAAATTCAACAATATATAACAGTATATTATTTTATCATTTGGTGGGAGTAACAAAATTGTAAAAGGAACTTAATTATATTATTTCATTCTAATGCACGAATTTTTATACATTGTTAAAATAAAATAAATAACCAATTTTTAATTTTTTTTTACTAGCAACTGATTAAGCTACTTTTTCTGTCTTGTATGGACAGTTTTTTTTCCTTTCATACAAAATCATATTTCCTGAATCTTAATCCAAATATTTCTGTCAAAGTTTTCAATCACTTTTGTTTTACAAAAAAATATCACTTTTAAGCTTTTACGGAAGATGTCACTTCTAAGTTTCTATGAAAAAGTTATCAAATTGTAGAATCAACAATGTGCTCACCTTTTAACACAAAATTCATCTCTATCAGTTTTAAAAAATTAATATTGATTTTATATTAGTTATATTTATAATATTTATACTTTTTATGTATGGTTTTAGTTTTTTTTATATTTAAATTATTTAAATTTAGTTGTTATAAGAAAAAATATAAGATAATTAAATTAAAATAGTTTTATTATGTTAAATACATGTTATTTTTATTTAAATAATTTATATATTTATTTAGTAATTCACAAGACTTAATAATATGTTATATCTTTATTGTATTTTTATTAATTATTAGAATAATACTTTGATGTGAGGGATTTCAGTTGAGTACTTGATTAATTAGAAAGACTAAATGTGAGTTATTATTGTTACGGAGACCAAAATTACACAAATTAGTGTATGACAACAACAAAAAATTATATAATTAAATTTTTAATTTTTAATACATTAAAATTTTACACCAGTAATATTTTATTACAAGCTTAATTAAACTTTTAAGACCCATTTGCTAAATATGACAAGATAAAAAACAATAAGATATGAGAGAATAATAAGCTATAAAAGAAAGATAAGATCTTATCATATTTTATGTTTAATATATATTAATACAATAAAACAAATAACATTATGTCATCCTACTAGTTTAAAATAAAAAAATATATCAATTATATTAAATGATAAAATTATTCTTCTATCATAATAACTATAATTTTTAAAAATATTTTTTAATTTAATTTCTTGACTTTTCATTTAAAGTATATATCAACAAGTTATAAAAAATAAGTGTGAACTAGTATTAATATTTTATCATTAAATTATAATAATTTTGTATTTTTTTACAAATAAAATTTATTCTTTTTGTAATGAAATACAAGAAAAACAAATAAAATTATAAAATATTAAATTATGTTTTTAAAACGAGTATGATATTTTTTATAAAAATAATGTTCATATAATTTTTTTATAAAAATAATTAAAATTATATTCTTAAATAAATAAGTTTTGCATAAAATATTAATATAAAGTTTAAATACAAAGTGAAGTGAGAAGTTATTATGTCATCATAATTTTTATTTCATTACCCTCGTCAAGATAATAATTTAAATTATTTCTATGAATAGAGTAATTTAACAAAATAAGTTATTATATTTTATTTTTTATCCTGTGTATCAAACTAACCTTTAGTTTCTCTGATTTAGACTGTTATTTTAGTTCCTCTGTTCCTTTTTCAAGTAACTCATACACTTTCTTCATACAATCTTATTTTTTAATAAAATATTTAGATATTTATGATAGATTATAATTTAAAATAAACTTTCAAAGTTAAAAATTCAACTAAAAATTTAATAAAGTTTGACGGTATAATAGTTATGATTTGAGAAGAAAAAATATTTTTTTTTTAAATTTTGGGTAAAAACATATATTTAGTTTTGTAAATATTGAATGAAAGAAGAAAAATATATTTTCATAAAATTAAAAAAAACTTATGAAAAAAATTAAATATGTGCAAAATTTTATTAAAATCTGCGCAAGTAAAAATATACATACAATTAAATATTTTGACCCATACACTTTTAACTAAATTACATACTATTGATATATAATTTAATATAAAGCTTTATATTTTTTATGAGTTATTTAAATGAATAAAATATGTATAAGTATTTTTTTTAATTTAAATTATTAGTATTTACAGTAACTTAATTAATAAATATTTTTATGTTTTGTTTGGCTAAGATAAAAAAAAAATAATGATATTATTATTCTTTATTTGATTAAAAAAATACAAGAAAAAAAGTTAACTTAACAGAAAAATAAAATAAAAATTTTCAAATTAAATTTGTTATTATTTTTTGATGGAACGAATAAGGGTTACTGAAAACCGTTCAAGTATCCACATCAAGGTGCACAGTGGGGCTGAAATTTTCATGGTAACATGCACATGGTGCCCCCACAAGAACCTACACTGCACTTGCATGCAAATTTTGTATTGATAAGAAGTGCATTGAGGCATGCACTATGGCTCACATGTGTAGGTCTTCTTGCACATGCATTGGTCATTCCATTAACTTTCACGAATGCATGAAGAGTAGGAAACACGTTTCCAAGTATGTGTGAAGAACAAAAATAGTTTCACCCACTTACCCTCACTCGCTCTCTCCAATGTTGTCTGCCATTTCAACACAACCATCGCTATCAAACTACTCCACAGTGTTTCACTATCCAACTGCACAGAATTTGCACCCTAGAAATCCTACAGCGTTAGCAAATGGATATTCCACTTCAATATTATGACAGATTTTTTAACTAGGACTAGATTTATCTAAAAATAATTCAAAATTTATATTCAACATATGTAAGATAAATTATACTAAATAAGATTATGAAATATTTTATTATACACAATATTTTAATATAATTAGTATACTTTTTATCATCTTTAATAATAATAATTTTTAGTTTTTATTTCTTCTTTTAATGTATCCTAGAATAACATATATAGTTTGGTCATTAAGTTAAGTTTTCACAAATATATTTCAGTTCAATTATTATTTTTAATTTGTATTATTGTCATTACATAATATATTTTTATTTAAGAATATATTTTTTTCATAAAAAAGTCACTTAAAGTTATTTCCTTAAAAACTATTATAAAAAAAATATTTTAACACCAATTTTGTCACCTATAATTTTGTGCATTATTTTTAATCATATATAATAAAAATATATTTTTATTATTGTAGTAAATTTAACAAATAAACATAATAATAAATGTGATTTAAATTATTCGTAGTAAAGATTATACACCAATTAATGGATAATATATAAATACAAAATAAATAAATTAAAAAAATTAGATTAAAAAACATTAAAATGAAATTAAAAATTATAAGATTTATTGATTCTAAAATTTAATTAAATTATTTATATTATTTGATGGCTTAACGGGATTACTTGTATTAAACTTCATAAATAAATAAATGAATTTAATTTAATAAATCTACATAATATAATTATAGTAAAAATAATAATAACATAAAATTTATAATTAATTATAAATAATATCTTGAAAATAATTTAAATATTATATGACATATGATATTATGTATAATTTAATTAGAAAAATATCAATTTATACATTAAAATAATAAAACTTGTCTTATTGTCTGAATGTCATTCATTTTTTATTATATTAATTCTCGTTCACTTTTAAATTGTTTTTTAAATTTTCAATAATTATTACGAATTAATTAAAATAATTTTTATTATTTTTTAAATTACTTCTTACAAATATCAATAATTTTAAATTAAATATAATCAACTCTCATTATTTTTAATTAGTTTTATAAATTTTAATAACTATAAATTAAGTATGATTATGAAATTTAATATAACTATGAATTACATATAAAATATAGATAAAATTAGTGTTTTCGTCCTCTAATTTAAAGGTCAAATTTGATTTTGTGCTTCAACTTTATTTTGATTCATTTAGTCCATAACTTCTAAAAATATTTTAAATAAGTCATTATCTTCTTATCAAACTTTTATACATTATTCATTGTTTTCTTCCTTAGAGCTTTGATTTTAATTTTATCCTCCAAATCTTTCTTTGTACTATTCATGCATCATCTTATTCCTCAAGCTTTTATATACTATTTATTGTTCTTTTCCTTAGAGCTTCAATTTTAATTTTCTCATGCAAATCATTCTTAGGCAATTCATCTCAAACCAATGGCCAACCAAGTTTCCTATGTTACTTCTACGCCAATGACAAAGGCAACTACATAACCAATACCACCTATCAACACAACCTGAGAGAAAGTGTTATTTAAAGAGGGTGAAGGTGGTGATGACATTGGCTATGGTGATAGTGATGATGCTTCTGTTGTATGATTATAGAAGCAACAACTTTCATATCTTAAATTGTAACTCTATCTACTACCCTACCACCTATTTTGTCATTCAACTTGGTATTTTTGAGATAGCCCCATCCAACCAATTATAGCAATCTTACTTAGACAAATCACCTACACTACACCAAACCATATATGGTTTGAAAACTTGGATTAGCTACATTTGTTACCCCAAACTTGTGATATTAATCACTTAATGCAACTTTGTTTCTTAGATTCTCTAAAATTGATTCACATCTATTATATTATTTAAGTTACACATATAAAATGAAGGTAAAATGAAAAAATATATCATAAAGTAGCATAGATGAATTTGTTTTCATTACTATTGGTACAATCAATAAAGAGAAAGAGATAGAGATAGCTGAAATTGAAACTTTTAAGGAGAGACAATGAACATTGTACATAGACTAGAGAAAAAAATGATAAACACTACATGAATAGCACATGTGACAAACAAAGTTAACTTTTTTTTAATGTAAAATATTTGAAATATTTTTAAGACTTAGAAAATTAAAATAAATTAAAATAAAGTTGAAGGACAAAATTGAATTAAACCTTTAAGTTGAAAGATGAAAATATAATTTTTTCTTATAATATATAGATTATTTAATAGAGGATATTCATTATAATTTAAGTGAAAAAATTTTAAATTTTTATATGAAAATAAAATTTATCTTTTATTTATATCTTATTTATTTTAAAATGTTTAATAATTATGAATTAAATATGATTTTGATAGATAGATAATTATATATAAATTAATAAAAATATTTTTTTAAAATATTTAATAAATATTAAACATTGTTTAATGTAATAAAAAATTAGTGGTTTTAGTTATTTTTAAAAGAAAGATATATTTATTTTATTAGAATTAAATAATATTATATCATTGAAATTATGAGTTAAAAATATTTTTAAACGTTCATCTTACTTTAAAATATTTGTTATATTTTGGACAAAATTTATACTTTCTAGAGTTTATAGAAAAATTAAAATATTTAATAAATATGACATATTATTTATAGAAAAACTTAATTTTTTCCCCTCTTCTTTTTCTCAATTTTTGCTTCATTTGACATTTTCATTCCTTTTTGTCTCACTATGCAAAAAAACCTCTCTGAAACCGTCCAAAAGAAAGAGTTAGAACAAAATTAAGCATAAATTAATTGAGTTAATTCATACAAAAATTTAAAAATCACCTGATGAACAAATATTTGTCACTAATTCTCATCAAAATTTTAAACCTAGGTCGTTCTCTTGTGAACATCGGGTATGGAATCACACATCAAACATGTTGTGAGCGCTAAGTTCAGAAAATAAACAAAATGGGGGGTTTGTTGTTTTTAAGTTCAAAAACATTCAAGCAAGAAATTAATGTGAGAAATCCGATTAATGAAATGTATTCACCCCTAGTTTATTCATATTAATTCTATCATAAATCCTCTTAAAATCAAATACTTCAACATTTCTCAGAATTAGGTTAATTAGAGCAAGCGTCAATCAATCTTAAATTCCCATACAAAATTAAGCAAATCACATGGACTCCAATCCCTAACTCTTAGGATTAAATTTAGAATTAAGCAAACCAAAATTTGAACCCTTGTTAAAAATAAAATAGAGTTTGATTAAGCAACACCCTCATTCAACCTTTAACTTAATTTCAAGAGATTAGGAAAGATTAAATTCATGAAAGGAATTCGTATTAACATTAAGCCTAGGATTTCAAGAACCCATATGAACTCCACTAGAGATTAACAACAAGATTTAGCCATCTATGAGGATGGGTTTCATCGTTACAAAGTTTAGAATCAAGAAAGCTCAATTGAATCAAAGCAATAATAATAATAAAAAAAAGTAAGAAGAAGAAGTAATAAAACCTATATGGAACCTTGGCTATCACCCAAGGTCTTACCTAAGCTTTGCAAAATGTGTCCCAAAATGGAAAAATAGTAGAATGGTAAAAAGATTCCTACCCTAAAAGTAAAAGTCCTATTTATAGTAAAATTAACGTCTCCCAAAGTAGTTACTATCACTGCTGATAGTGTTTACGCACAACTTCATAATGATTTCCCTTTCTGCACGTGTTAACTTTTACCACTCTTTGTGCACTGGGGGCTCTCTGAAGTGTTCACTATCATCAACGGTAGTGAACACGCACAAGTCTGCACCTCTCTTTTGACTCTGTACTGATTATTTTTGCTTCTGAAAGTGATTACTTTCATGTGTCCTCCTGGAAATTGCTTGTTGTAGTGATTACTTTGGGTACTGAAAATAGTTGCTTTCACTCCAATTTTTTCAAAAAGGCCTAAAATCCATAAAATTTGTCTATAAATTCCTATACAATTATTCAAGTGAGAAAAATTGCAAGAGATATTTACAAAAATCAGTGTAAATTAAATAAAAATTAAGAAAGTTATTATGGTAATTGACGTAAATGAGATTTTTATAGTATTTAAAATTTTTATTTATTTTTCATTAAAAATCTATAAAAAAAAGGTAAGTAAAATATTAACAAAATATGGGTTTATCATCACGCAAAGCTTAAATTAATCAATGAGTCCATGATCATATTCAATTAATTATTGCTTTGTGTCACTTGACATCAATTTTGAGTTTTAACACCCAAACCCGTCCAAACCCAACTAGAGGTCACTCCTAATGAAATTTATATGTTAAACTAAAATTAAATTAAATTATTTTTGAATAAACTGATTATTATATTTTTTTTAAACTTGCATAATATAATAATTACATATATAGCATTCAATAGTAGTAATATTAATTCAATGTATTCCAACGAGAGTTAATAATAATATGTTAGAACCAAAATTAAATTAAAATATTTATTGACATTCAATATTGTAATAATAAAATATTTTAAATTAAATATATTATTGCATTGAATTTGTGAGTTAAAAATATTATTTCATCTAATTCACCTTACTTTAAGTAAGATATTCATTCCATTATTGCTATATAATAAATATAAATTGTCATTTTTATCTTTTTATTTAGAAGATTCTATTTTATTTTTCATCATAATTATTATTTTATTTCTTAATTTAACTAAGTTTCTCTTAACTTTATTGTAGAAAGTAGTGAAAATGCAACTTGTTAAAAAAATCAAATCATGAAGAAAATTTGTTAAAATGAATGAGAATAATTTTAAATTTAAACTTTATCTTTTGAATTGAAAATCATCTTTGGCATCCATCTCTCTTCATTTTTTTCTCTACACTAAAATCATAGTCTTTCATTTTAAAACTCTTCC